ACACAAGGACCCCACTGTGCACCTGTGTGATGCTTCCCACGCAGCCTCAAGGGGCCGCCCTCCAGGCTCCTGCCAGGGCCCCACACGGGGCTAGAGGGAGAGGTCCGCCCATACAGGTAAACACACCTGGTGGCTGAACTCTCCCCACAGCTGTTTCAAGGACGAGGAAAGGGGTACAGCGCCAAGAATCTGGAGACAAACCATGACCCCCTTCCTAACTCCTGGTCCAAACTAACCCACTCACAATACTATTTGCTACTTAGGGTGCGTGTTGCACCAGCTTATAAACGTCAGAGGAACAGAGGAAGACACTCCTAGCGATAAGGACAAAAATCGGTTCCGGAAGGGAAATTTATGTATGTGTGCACATTCAGGTGTGCGTATAGATGCAGTCACATACATATACGTGTGCATGCACCTGTGGGCACGTGTGTACATTCATTTCCATTGAGTCGGGGAGCGGGGCTTGACCTTCCACTGGGAAGGGACGGCAGAGAGAAAGTATTCCTGGGGCTGTTCTGATACTACGTGGCTCTGTGGCTTGGGGAATTCACTCTGGGGCCTCAGGTGCCCCTCTACAAAAGTGATTTTTATTTTTAATTTTGAAGTTGATTTATTTTGAGAGAGAGAGAGAGAAAGAATCTCAAACAGGCCCCGAGCTGTCAGCACAGAGTCCGACGCGGGGCTCGAACCCGTGAACGGTGAGATCAGGACCTGAGTGGAAGTCAAGACGTGGACGCCTAACTGGCTGAGCCCCCCAGATGTCCCTACAAGAAGTGATTTTTAACTGAAACCTGCACTTCTAAAATGAATGAGTCACACAATCGACTTCCCAGGGGGACTCCCGGTAGGCTCCACACGGACGCAGCGATCCGCTGGCTTACCTATTTGGAATCTTGGAAATGTCTATCTTCTCTCTTGAGGCAAGGTATGGAATCAGCACCACCCTTTCCAAGTCTGGGAGTCCTGGAGGAGGCGGGGGGGGGGGGGGGGGGGGGGGGGGGGGGGGGCGCAGGCTCGCTGAACGACACACGCGGTGGATGTGGTTCCCACCAAGCGTAACACAACCAAGAGACGGGGGCTTCCCGGGGTTTTGCCGCTCGCGGTTCAGGGGCCCTCGTGCCTCCTCTCTGCACCCCGCCCCAGCCCTGCCGGCCCCCACTCGGGCGAGCCACACACCTTTGACCACCTGCTGCAGCTTCTCCATGTGGCTGAAGTCCTTGCCGTTGTACCTGACCGCCTCCACGGAGAAGATGAGCTTGGGCTGGATTTGAGAGAAGCGGTCCAGAACGCCCTGGAGGGGGAAGGGAAGGTCGTCGCCATCAGTCACGCCAAAGGCAAAAAGCTTAAGCAACCAACGCGACCGCCTCGAGGGAACGGAACAGCACTAGGCGCGTTCCTGCGACCCCGCCAACCCGTGGCCCGTACAGAAAACCGAGAAGCCACGACTTGCACCTGAGAAATGAACGTCACTTTGAAGAAAGGGTCAACGTAGACTTACAGACGCGCTGAGACGGCAAAGCACAAGTGTATGAGATGGGGAACCTAAGGGGGGAGTATCTGCACCCCCAGGGAGATGCCCCACTTTGCGGAAAGAGCCCTGAATACAGCCACTCCGGCACCTGGCGCACACGAAAGGAGCTTCGCCGGCGTGTCCGTATCTTGGTCCCTCCTGATCTGCAGTTACGAGGTACGCGAATCCTCCAAAAGGCACTTTCTGCCAACCAAACGCACGCCCCTACAAACGTGTATCCTCGTAAATAAGCCCCATTTCCAAGGCAGGCCCACCACGCACGGAGTCGGGTCCTGGCAAGCACACCTCTTTCTCTGAAAGCAGCACGCCTCCGTGTGGGTAACGACTCGTTTGGGACACTGACGTGGACAGACACGCTCACTACAACTGGAGTGCGAGCCCAGCGGCGACAGGGAAGCGCTCCCGGGTCCAGACCTCGGTGGAGCCCTCTTCATCCACAAGCACGGCACCTGGGGAGGGCACCGCCCGGAACGGCGCTTCCGTCCAGGGCCAGAGCTCCACGATCGGCACCCGGGTCACTCCCAGGGCACAAGCAGTGACGCCAGGATTTCCCAAGAACATCCCAGTCTCTGACACCGCTGGGCGGCGGGAACCAGGAGGGAAAGGCACGAAGACCAGGCGGTTCGTCAGCACAGGCAACGGCAAGAGTGACGCAGAGAATTGGGGAGAATCACCAGGAAAACGGTTCGGTTGATGACAGGCATAGTGGTGACGTAGACACTTGATACAGCAAAATACAGAGTATTCTTAAACCTCAGATTCTTTTTTTAAATTTTTTTTAGTGTTTATTTTTTTGAGAGAGAGACAGAGCACAAGTAGGGGAGGGGCAGAGAGAGAGGGAGACACAGAATCCGAAGCAGCTCCAGGCCCTGAGCTCTCGGCACAGAGCCCGACGCGGGGCTCGAACCGGTGAACCGTGAGATCGTGACCCGAGCCGAGGTCGGACGCTCAACCGACCCAGCCACCCAGGCGCCCCTCAAAGCTCAGGATCCTAAGCGGGGCTGAGAGTTGCCGCTTTATGTGGGAAGAAAAGCTTTGCCAATAAAAATCCCAACACGCACTGAGCGCTCACCGTGCCAGGCACCGCTCCGGCTTGCTCCAGGCATGCGCGCATCTGGCCTGCGCAGCCCCGGGAGCAGGGCAGTACTGTTGGCCCACGTCCTTGCAGAAGCGTGAGCAGGTTGAGCAACCGGGCCACAGTAACAAGCGGCCAATGGCAGAGCCAGGGGTGCAGGCCGGTGCTCTTAACCACACGCAGCCTCTGGGAGAGACTAGCCTGAGCGACAAGGAAACCAAAGGGCAGCAGCAGAGAACAGGGCCGGGTCCCAGGCCGACTGAAGCAGGACCAGGAAGAGGCAGTGGGGGCTGGAGCCACGGAGCGGGAGGGGGTCCCCTCGGGGGCGGCCGCCGGAGCAGGTTCCACAGCAGGGCGGGAGGGGAGAGGCTGTCCCCAGGCAGAGGGCACCTCGGGAGACGCTCAGGGAACGGAAGGCCTGCGGGAGGGCCTCGGATCGGGGAGGGGCTGCCGGAGTCGGGCTGGGAGCGCCCCTGAAGGCAGCAGAGACATCTCCGTGACACCCCGCACCTCCCCTGCTCTCCCCTGCGCAAGGCGCCAACACTCAGGATGGAAGGACCCAGCCCGCCAGGGACCCGGGCCTCACATGTCACAGAGCTCCCGGCCACGGTGACGGCCAACAGACAGCGAAGACCACAGTGTTTCTGAATCAGAGGTCTGGGCCTGGCCACGGACAGACCCAGAGGCCCCAGGGGAAGCTGTTGGCCCTGTCGCTTTCTGACCCCCCGGAAGGGCTCTCCCCTGAGACTCAGGCCACAAGGCCAGAGAGAACTCCCAGAAGCCGCGAGCCGAAGCCCAGAGACGGCAGAGCCACGCTGCCATCTAGCGTGCAGCAGGGTCAGCAGCGCAGGCTGGAGAGCCATCTGCTGGGGACACGTGGCACGGGACGTGGCAGCAGCAGAGCGGGAGGCGGCTGGACGCTGGCCCGCGTCCCAGCCTCCCACCCTGTACCCGGAGGCACGATGCGCCGCCCGGTGCCATCAGGGGCTCTGCTCTCCGTGAGGTCTCCGGGCAGGGGCTTCCTTCCAGCCCCAGAAGGCCACGACCACTGCCCTGTGCCACGCCCAGCTCTCCCAACACCTTCGTGACCGGCTCAAAACACCCACGTCACTTTTAAAGGCTGACACGCGGTGACTTCGGGGGGCGGTGAGTCGAGCGCGGCCCCCAACCCCACGCAAGCATCCATTCTGCGGTCCCCGTGGGGCGACCGGGCACAGGCACAGGAAAGCCCCAGGAGGAAAACGACCGCCAAGCCGGGAGGTCCAGGCGGCCACCTGCTTCCTGAACTCGGCAGAGCCCGGTCCTCACCGCAGCCCCAGCCGGCCACTCCACCGCCCCCGCGCCTCCGCACGGCATGGGGCAGAGGAGACCTACTTGGACCACCTTCACCAGAACAGCAAGCCTCAAGGTAGACGCGAGTTCCAAGCTCGTGCCCGAAAGCCAGCCCTGCGGCCGAGACCAGCCCGACCACAGGGCGCCGAGCTCGAACGTCACCAGCGGCTGAAGCCGGAGCCGAGGCGCGCCAATCTCACCTCGCGGGCCCAGCCTCCTATGCTCATTCCACGGCCCTCCTTCCCACCGTCCCTGTTTCGCACAGGGGTGCAGGGTCGGCAAAGTCGGGACAGCCTCAGCCGCTGAGCTGTGCTGGCCGGGCCAGGAGCGAAGCACCTGATGCCATGGAGAGCGGCCGGGGTCCCGGATGCCCACCGTGTCCCCTGACTGGGGTCTGTCCTCATGGCTCCCAAGGGACCCACATCGCCAAGGCTCTGCAAGCAGGAAAGGCCCCGGGCCAGCGAGTGGAGGCCCCGGGGACGTCCTGTTCTGCCGCCACTTCCTTCTCCACAGCGGGGCTGAGCACGCACCTCCTGCCCCTGCCTGGGCCCCCTCTGGCGGCTGGCTGCACCCTGCGTCCTTGGTCCCCTCGGCTCCGCAGAGATAAAGAGGCCCACCCTCTTCCCGCGCAGAGCACAGATCCAAAGTAAGAGATCAGAAACGGCAGGGAAAGACCCAAGTGCAAGGAGACCTCGGGGCAGCCTCTGTGAGCAAACCCAGATGACGGTCTGCAGAACAGAAACGTCAGAAAGTCTCCCGCGGTCACGAGTGCAGAGATGACAGACACCTCCCGTGAGATCCCCCAGCGCCATCTGCCACACGAGGACGGGACGTTGGCAACGCCAGAAAAGAGGAGGGTTCGTTGGCGTGTAGATTTAAAACCAAGGCTCAGCTCACTCTGGATCCTTCTCTCCCATCGTTCCGGTGTCACCGGCCAGTGAGACAGGAGGCCGTCGTGACATCGTCTCCTTCCCGGCCTGCCAGTCCTGGGCCACGGCTGCCCACGCCCCTGCCCGAGACGCCGGGTGGGCAGAGCCCTCCCCTTGGGAAATCACACAGAAATGTTTCTGTGGCCAGTGGCTGCACCCCCAGGGCGCTCAGGGGCACACGGGCGCCCCTCACTGGGGACCCCAACTCACGTTCACACCGAAGTCTGGGGACGTGGAGCTCCAGATGGCACCGATGCTTGCTGCAGCCAGCATGGCCTCCACGGCATGCACACCATTGGGTAAATAACCTGTCGTCGGGCACAGGGAGAAAGCCTTGGGTTCAGGGTACGTGGGATGCAGTGGACTACAAGAGGGACCTCTGAGAGCCAGGCAAGCAGTGGGGAGAGGAGCCGGCTTTGACCAGCCCAAGGAGCACGGCCAGCCCCACCCCATCCCAGCTGCCTTGACATCCCCATTCAGACGGCCCCACCGCTTACCCCCAGCCTGTCCACTCCTTACGGTCAGCCCCTCCAACCCATACTGACCAGAATGATCCCCACAGTCCTGCATGATCCGGCCCTGGCCTCCTCTTTCTCCACTCTGCCTCCTTCTCCAGTTTTCCGGTTGTTCTAAGCTCCTCCTGCCCCAGGGCCTTTGCACAGGCTCTCTGTTCTGCCTGAACACTCTTCCACACACACCAGTTGTTCTAAACTCCTCCTGCCCCGGGGCCTTTACACAGGATGTCCGTTCTGCCTCAGTACTCTTTCACACACAGCAGCCTTCCTGACTCTGCAAATTCATTCTTTAACTCTTAATGTAAATGAGACTTTCTCAGAGACGCCTTCTCCGAGGCCCCCCGATAAACTCAGATTCCCTGGCCGGTCCCCACAAAGCACACTCTATTTTTCCGTCACCAAATTTACCACGATAATCACCTGCATCTGATAATATAACTGTCAATTTCACAGCTGGTTCCCACAGGAGGGCAGGGACTTTGCCTGTCCTGTCCTTTCCTTTACCAAATGCCTTTTACCATGCCCTGCATATCAAGGCCCTGAGATATGGGTGCGCTGGCTGGTGGATGGACGGATAAATAGACAGACAGGTGGACGGACGGAAGGGGGAAGGAGAGGCAATAAGGGACTCGAGCAGGGGTCAAGAGACCCAGAAAAGCCTGGAAGGAACCCAGCAGAGGCAAGAGGCTGGGCTGTGATGACAACAGAGGCAGAGCAGCTGTGTGGCCAGAGGGACCCCGGTCAATTAGACAGATGGTCCTAAATGTCCCAGAAGAAAGGAGCGGACACATAAGGCACCGGGGAGCAGGGGCCGTGGCCCAATGCCGCCCCTGCACGGCCCCCAGGCGACCACAGAAGCCGCGCAGTCCCGGCACCCGGGGCTCTGAGCCTGCACAGCTCTCTCCCTGCCTCCTCCCCCAAGGTGCTCCACTCTCCGCTTCTTCAAGTTCGCTGTACCTCCCTGGCAGCCAGCCAGGAGCACCCCCAAAGGGCGAGGCTCAGCCGGGGATGCGCCCAGCATCTGGCACAGGCAGGCCTGCGGTCTCCTGAGTTTACCATGTAAACTGCAATGTCCCCGGGGCAGGGCAGGACCCACGCCCGGGGGGCCCGCACACCCAGGCTTGCTGTCACGGCAGTGAGCACGCGTCAGGGACAAGAGAAACCCACAAGAGCAGCCCCGACAGGTGTCTGAAGCCCCTCAAGCATCTTCCCGCGTCCTCCCCCCCCTTGGGAGTCATTCCCTGGTGCCCTCTTCTGGGAACCACAGTCCCCAGTCCTGGAACTGTGGTCGTGTCAAGTTAGTGTCCAGGCTGAGACCCTCACGAGCATGGGTCACCAGGCACCCGCATGAGTTTGCACAGTCGGGACATCGCCCACGAAAGCACGGCCCGGAGGGGGTCTCGACCGTCTTCCCCAACACACCCTGGTCTCCACTTCTCCTTCTCTCGGAAAATGTTTGCTTCAAAAAGAGACTTGTTTTAACGAAAATGGGAGGAAAGAGCACACTTAGAGGGAAGAAAAAAACCAGAGGCAATAAGAACCTTCTGAATTCCTTTTCTAGACCTCGAAAGGGTGGCTTACACCGGAGGAAGAACCACAGATATGGAGGCTTCAAGCACACGTGCCTGCTATGACCGGGCCCCACGCTCACACGCACTCACCCACAAGAGCCCGTCACACACCCACTGCGCCCCGGCCGCCCTGCGGACAGAGACGCAGCCGTGCACAGAGGACACAGCCCCTGTCCTCCAGCGGGAGGACAGACAGACGGACACATGCGCACACACACACAAACGATCCCAAGATTTCAGACGGGCGATGAGGACCACAAAGGAACATAAAGCAGGCTGCATGCAGGGAGGGCCGACGGTTTCCCGTGGGACAGCAGGGACCTCGCTGAAGCGTGCGAACCCCGGAGGTCAGTACAGCCCATCCAGGGCCGAGACAGGGGGCGATGGCTGCGGTGACCCCCCCGTCTGCTTCCTTCCCAGTCAACTGACATGCGAGCAGGGCCTCCGTGCCCAGCTGCCATGGGAGGAGACACGGGGTACAGCCCTTACTCGGTTTACAACGATAAGGCCGCCCTCTTAGCAAACACGCTAAATGCCCGCTTGTGGTGAGTTCCCTCAGGAGAGGCGGCTTCTCCCACTGCCACCTGCCCTGTGGCCCTGTCCCACGGCCATGGGGGTGGGGAGGCAGACCAGCACCCCGGCCAGCCCGCCTGCACGAGGGTAAGTCCTCTCACCTCCCCCTGCTCGCCCTGGGGGCACGCCCACCCACATCTAAATTCACTAAAGGTCCTTGGGGCGGAGAACAGGTCCACACACGGGCCCGGAAGCCTTCCCCAGGAGTCAAGGTGAAAGCAAAACTGGAAGAAGACACCTGACTGTGCTCGGTGGGAAATCAAGACTCGCTGCCAGACGCAGAGAGAACAAAGGAAGGCAGGAACTTGGGAGGGGGCCGGGGAGGGAGAGGGAGCCAGGCCTCCCTTTGCCCTCTGGAGACACCAACCCTGCTTCCTTCTGGAAGGAGGGCCCCTGCCTGCCCTACCACCTGTGGTGCACGCCCAGCCCACCGTGCTCCTGTCACCCCTGCGGGCGCCCCGCCCCATGAACCTCCGGGCCTTTGCACAGGCTGTCCCTTCCCTCTCGGGGCACCATGACCTTCCTTGGTCATCTGTCCCCCACCAAGCGTGGATCGCTGAGGTCCTGCAGGGTTGCTCGCAATCTGCCATTGTCCAAAAGTCGCCTCAACCTTCCAAGCTGGTCACTCCACCTCGTCTCTCCCCCAAACCACAAGAGCCCAAAACACTTACCAACGACCCGGTCTCCTTGTTTCACATTCATTTTCCTCATTGCTGCTGCAAACAAAGCCACCTGCTGCCTCAACTCTTCAAAAGTCACCTTCACAATTTCCTCTCTGCCTTCCCCTGGGAAGAGAACAGGGACACACAGTGGAGACGAGCCTAACAGAAAAGTTCCGAGTCGTAGACTCGTCTAAACATAGGTTAGAAATGTGTCACACATCAGGGCGCCTGGGGGGCTCAGTCGGTCAAGCTTCCGACTTCGGTTCAGGTCATGATCTCACGGTCTCTGAGTTCGAGCCCCGTGTTGGGCTCTGTGCTGACAGCTCAGAACCTGGATCCTGCTTCGGATTCTGTGCCTCCCTCTCTCTCTCTGCCCCTCTTCTGCTCACACGCTCTCTCTTTCTCAAAAATAAACATAAAAAAAAAAAAAATGTTTTCTCTCAAACTAAATAAATTTGCATTTAAAAATTTAAAAAAATATTTTTTTAAATCATGTTTAAAAAAAAAAATGTCGCACGGACACAGGTTTACTCAACTTCCCGGGACGTGCGTGTGGCCGTCAGCCGAGGACAGAAAAATGATCAAGCTCGCTGTGGAAGACAGGTCCGTGACAAGGGTGAGATACGAATTTCCACCTAACAGACGGCGACGACAGGGGAAGACGGTGTGCTCGCCGGCCTCCGCAGCGGCCCCCAGTGACCCCCGTCCCCCGTGCTGGTGCTCTCATGCGGGTCCCCCCACACCGAAGGGGCCCCGAGCCGGGTGAGCGACAGGACACTGGAGACAACGGGGACCTGTGAGCCTTGGTCACAGAAGACACGGCGGCTCCCACCCCGCTCCCTCTGGGGGAATCCAGCTGCCGTGTTGTGAGGACACTCAAGCAGCCCCCGAGAGGCCCACGCAGGGGGAAACTGAGGCCTCCCGCCGGCAGCCACGGCAGTGCGCCATCTTGGACCCGGACCCGCCCGGCTCGGTCAGTCCTTCGGACGACGCAGCCCCCGCCAACGTCCTTGCCGCAACTTCGTGAGAGGCTCCCGAGCCAGAACCCCCCAGCGAAGCCACTTCTGAACGTGCAACCCACAGAAACCGTGAGACGCTCTGTTCGCTATCTGCGGCCGTGGTTTTCGGGAAATTTGCTCCACGGCGACAGGAAATGAACACGGCCGACACTCGATGTTGCGTGGCTGTGGGAAAACTATCTGGCTGTACTTTCCACGAGGAAGAGGTGAATCCCGGCCGTTATCTTTGACGCAGACACGTTACTCCTGACTGCCAACTGCTGTTGGCACCTCCCTTCCAAAGTGAAGAAATGTCCTGATTTCTGTTTGGTGTCGACCTGGCTTCTCCCACCTCCTTAAAGTTACCTACGCCTACCCCTGGTTCTTCTCCCCCCTCGCCAGGCGGCCTTCGAAGTCCCTCCCCCTGCTCCCCTCCCCCCTCCCCAGATCATTTCCGACCCTGTAAAAATACTCAGCAACCTGAAACCCACTGTTTGGAGACACAGCATGCTGCACACGCAGCTGTTCTCGGAACTCCAACGCGGGCGGCACGGATGCACGCGGTTGCGCTCTGCTCGCTGGAGCGCCAAGGGCCCGACGCACGCCTGCCTTTGGTGGCACCTCCTGGCCTCGGCAGGGACCGTCCCTGGGAGGGACGGACTCGGCGGAGAACGCCGGAGCAGAACTCCACCCCGCACGAAGCAGCCGCACGCAGCCGGCAGAGTAGGAACAAATCAGGACAACACGCAGAAAACGAAACACGGTTGTCTTGAAATCCCCAAGCCAGTAACCAGCCGATCTAGGACCCTACTTAGGAAAGTACCCCACTGGGGGGCCGGCGTGGCTCCGTCCGTTAAGCGTCCGATCCTTGGTTTCAGCTCGGGTCATGAGCTCACGGATCATGAGATCGAGCCCCACGTTGGGCTCCAAGAGCCTGCTGGGGATTCTCTCCCTCTCTCTGCCCCTCCCTCCCACGAATGCGCTCTCTCTCTGTCTCTCTCTCTCTCAAGAGAAATAAATAAACTTAAAAAAAACAAAGGTACCCTATTTATAAACTAAATATGATCCCTGGCTTGAGGGCATTTGTTTGCCCCGCAAATACAAGAGGGAGCTCCTTAACGGAAGACGTTCACATATTTAAAGGGAAGGGGTGGGCAGGAGACGGGGGTGGGGGTGGGAAGGAGAGGGGGTGTGGAGGGAGAGGGTGAAACGGACACAGCACACCCAAAATTACAACCATGCCTCCCTAACCCACCTCAACACGGAGCTAGGCTTAAGAAAAAAGGGGCTGGGCTCAGCCAGTGCACACAAGAGGAGCGGGGCGCAGGGGGGGGTGCTGGGAAGAGAGAGCGAACGAACGTGCACGGCCAGTTCAGTCCAAACCCAGCCACCCAGAAGACTGGCGTGTTTCACCACCTTTACTGGTCTTCGGTTCTGTTTTTCCAAAAGATTCACGTCTGACCTTTCCCGCTTTCCAGAGAGGGAAACCAGGACCTCGTGCAGTGCCCGAGACCTTGGGTCAAAGTACAGACACATCTAACGAGAGCAGGAAAAGAAGATGAGGGAGAGACCCAGGGTTCCCACTCCTCAGGCTTCAGGCTCGTAAGAGGCGCTGAGCGGTGTTTACAAAGGGACCCCGGCACCCGGGGCAGGAAGGCCCTCGAAGGGTCTCTTAGGACACACAGGACACGAAGTCTCCGCTCGGTGGAACGTTCCTGGGACAGAGAAAGGGTCACTGACGCCAGCCGCGGCGAGGATGGGCTTTGAAACCTCGAGGCCGAGGGAGAGGCCAGACCCGAAAGGCCACGCCATGTGTGACCTCTGCCTCCACGAAGCGTCCAGACGGGCAAACCCGTGGAGACGGGAGAGAGCGAAGGGTGCCAGGGGCTGGGTCGGGGGTTCCTTCGGGGTGACAGGGCGGACGGACTCAGACAGGGCTGGTGGCTGACAACGCCGTGCATAGCTCAACGCCACAACGCGTGCGGCGTGAGGGTGAGGGCGGGGACGGCTTGCGTGGCTCGTGTCCCGCCTGAGGAAGGTCCTCTCCCCCAGCCTCCGCTGCCCTCTGCACCGAGCGCCCCCAGCAACCCTGTGGCGTTCTGCTGTGACGCATTGCACGAGTGGCTCACTACCGACATCCTGTTTCCCCTCGAGGGTAAGGGGCCCAGGTAAACATCCTCCCTCATTCCTTGTACAAAGCGAGGACTCGGCGGGCCGCTTTCTGTCAGAGCCCTCCTGCATCCAACACGCCTACCCTAGGGAACACCGCAGCCTGGCCCGGCCCGCCTTAGACGTGCTCCGAACACGGACGGGAGCCTCCGGGTGGGCACAGTCACCCACCACAAAGCAAAGCCTGTTTTATAACGAGGTGTTGACGGTCGCGTGTAATTGAATCCTGTACCGCAAGTGACAAACGGGACGGCCGCGTGGGTGCAGGCGGCAGTCCGGGAGCTGCAGCCGCTGCCCAGCATCACGAGAGAGGACGGGGACACAGATGGCTGGCCCGGGACACGGCGAAGGCAATATTCCACGTACGATTCCTGCTGAAGGTACAACATTATCAAGCTGAACCGTCCTCAGTCAGGGATCGCCTATACGTCTTTTATTCCTTGTTTGCCTCACCAGAAAGTCAGCCCCTCGAGAGCAGGGGACCCTGTCCATCCTGTTCAACACCACGTCCTCAGCACCTTGCGCTGAGGAGACATTTGAGACCGAGGTGAGAGCAAGCGAGAGAATGAACAGATGGACACGCAAACACCTCCTGAAAGACGAAGGGAGAGATGCCAGGCCTCGTGTAGCTTCCCCGAGGCCACTATGCACTCGGCCCAAAGTGCATCCAGGCTGAGCAGGGAGCACAGTAAAGGCACAGCCCGAAGACGACATAAAGACAAGGCTCTGTGGTTCTTATCCAACAATGTGCATCAGAAGCGACCGTGGGCTTTAAAACCATATGGAAGCCTGGGTACCGTCCCTGGAAGATGTGCTTAAGAAGCCACAGGAGCAACGGAACAGCCAGGATTCTACTTTTTTTTTTTTAATTTTTTTTTCATTTACTTAATTTTTGAGAGACAGAGTGCAAGCGGGGGAGGGGCAGAGAGAGAGAGAGAGAGAGAGAGATGCAGAATC